AACATTACAAGATAAACCAACATTTAATAATGCGCTATAATAAAATGCTTCGGTCGATGTAATTTCGCTGATACCGAAGACGGAAATTATTAGGCTTGTTTTGCGCACCAAGCAAACATTCACATCGGATAATTAAATAGAATCGTCCATAAGCGTTTACGTTTTATCGTACGAAAAACTATACTTGGTGATTTCGGCAACCCTTCACTAAACTTTGTTAAAAGAATGACTATAAACGAAGCGCCACGGGATTTTATAAAATAACCTCTCCCTCCCCCCCCCCTGCTTTATAAAACGAACCGTGCTCAACGCAAAACATTTAAGGTAGTCGTAAAATCGGTACCTCCAGTCCTCAAGTATTCCCAGTCTATTCGCGCACCTATTAATTTACCTTAAGCACCTGTCCCATTAAGCAAACAGTTTATCCCGACAATAGAGTCTAATTACATATTACTCGTAGGAACTATTTAATAACCAGTTGTCATAAAATATTCCTTAATCGAGGCACCGTTTGAATTTAGGGAAAAGGAATACAGAGCAAGTACAATTAAAATCTCCTCCGCAGGCTTGATGTTACCGATAAAATCGCAATCGTGGATGCGCGATCAGTGTGAAACAACGGGGCCGCACGCGCCCTTCCTACCACAATGCGACAGCATTTTACGAGATCTGCCCAATGAATTCTCTTTACCGTCAATTATACATCCGTCAACGCATGCGCATCGCATGTTCGTCCGGGACGCATGAAAATAGTATGGATTTAGGTTTGATTTCCGCGGTAAATGATCGAAACTGCTGGCAACCACTTCCATAATTCCCCGAGTCCGAAGGAAATAATTGCGGAAACTGAATCGATGCCGACTTTAAAATGGGAAAGAAAATGTCGGAATGTTTTTAAAATTCAACTGACCACCGAAATACATGCCGGCAAATTATTTCTAAGGCTGCGGTGAGATGCCGTTTATATTGTAAAATCTGAATCGCTTGTTCGATAATTTAACGAGTCCGATATTTATTTAGCCAGTGATGACTATTTAATATTTCATCTGTTTAAATGCAAGAAAATAAAATATTGGGCTATTAAATAATCACTTAAAACTGTCTGCCATCGTCGAGTTTTTATATAATTCATATTTAAAGACGATGTAAAAATGCTACATATACCAGGCTACCTAATAATAAAAATCAATTACTACGTATGTAGATAATAAATCGTCACGGCATTAACATACTCTTAAGAGGATACATTCGAGCGTATTACATACAAAATGTTCTTTTTATTCTGCACGTGATTCGACACAATTCAATGTATACTTTATTATACACGCGAGTAACCACTGTATCGATTTTTATCTATCAAGGCCTATTCACTATGAATTTCTCTATTGAATAAGTCATGTACAGATTTCCTTTCTAATAGCCATTATTTTCTAATTAATATTAATTAGTAGGTTTGTATAATCGTTTCATTACATATGCAATAAATATAAATTGTAGACAGTATTGAATGTTTTGAGAAATTTTTTTTTTTTTTTTTTTTAAATTATAAGTATGAATAAAGAATAAATTCAGTCTTAGAAGATAAAAATCTAATAAAAGTCTGGTAGTTAATTATGTATTAGGCTAAAAATAATGAAAAGCTAATTTCATTCGACTTTTTCCATTAGAAATAATTAGATTTATTAATGGCTTCAGTAATATTTTCAAGTTTTAATGTAAAACAAACATAGAAGTCGACATTAATATTAAAATGACATTGTCCTATTAAATAATAGTATCAATATGTATAATTAACTACGAAAACTGTATTATAATTACATTATTCTTATTTATTTATTTTTTTGTTCTTGTTATTGTGTTTCAACAAAAACAACATTCACAGAGATGAGACGAAAAGTATTCGTAGATAATCAACTAACATTTGAGGTAAGGAGTGTCGGTGCCAAGCCTTCTGATTCTAAATTCAAGTGTCACATCAAAGTTGGCGTTGAAATTTAACTGACCGACACACCGGCACTTTGACTCTGAAAAATGTCTTTGAAATTGTTTTTCACGCTTCGCAAGTAGGTTGAAATGGAATTGTATTGCAAAGAATACAATAAGCGTTGGGCGAAACGTAAAGTACATCCAGGCAAAATTAATAATAAAAACGCTATTATGAAGCGAAAGAGAGGGAAGGAGAGAAAGAGAGAGAGAGAGAGAGAGAGAGAGAGAGTTAATGAAACGAGAGGCAAATGGCTATTTGGAGAGTGACAGTAGAGGCTATGGTAGACAACATCGCACGACGTTAGGCTTAAGTAAGCTGCGACGATGACAATCATGACGACGACGACGACGACGACGACGACGACGACGACGGCGAAGACGATGACGCGTTGACGCACGACACGAGCTACCCATGATACTCACGGCAACGTAGACTTGGGAAAGATCGAAAGCCGTATTATTTTGTAAAAAAGTAACACCTAGGCTTAATTGAAATTTGATGAGAATATGGCATTACGTACTCATTCCCTTCTCTACCGAGCAATAATTGCACAAGTCTTTTAATAAGTGGCGACAATCATTATTCCTGTATGCATTTCCGTCGTTTTTTACAAGTCGTTCCAGGAGCCAATATTACAGTTATTCTATTAATAATCACATTGTATATCGTAATTCATAATAAATTGGTATGAAGCGACGCTTTTTTGAAACTACTGCAGTTGTTTGAGATTATTCTTTTGTCATGTCGTATGTAAAACTCAACCAATTATATATATTTTGAGAACGCATAATTTTTTTAGTGGAACGCTAACTAAATTGGACATAAAAAATGTATTAGGTCTGTTATATTTCCAAATAAATGTAAATAATATATTAATAAATTTAATAAATTAATTGAGAAAATGTCAATGACTGATATAATCAATGAGTACACAAAACAGAATTTACTCTTTAATAAAGATAGCGACTGTATTTATTATTAAATTGACATGAATCACTCAAGACGTTCTTGAATATATTTTTAATACATTATTTTTCGTAAAAGTTTTTACAAACTTTACAAACGCTGTATTAAAGTTAAAAAGTGATAGCAAAAATAATTGATAAATATTTACTATTGCGTGTCCATGGCGTCGTTGAACGCTCTTCTGTAGCTTCATTAATTTGATTGCAGGGTAAATTACGCAAGTCATTAAATAACGATTATCGCGATGAAAAAATAGCACTATAGTTATAAGAGTCCTTAGAAAAGAGAAAATGACTTTTTGTAGGTAAAAACGCACCAAGCTCATTTGCGTCTTGAGACAGCCTCTGCGTTCGCCCTGATTGTTATTGATCAGTCAATTTATGCATGGCCATATACACAGATGCATTGGAGAGGTTGGAGAAAGTAAACTGGTAAAAGAGGGGAGGGGTAAGGGGTAGGGGGGAGGGGGTAGCGAGTTAGCGAGAGTGAGTGCGTGCGCGCACGTGTATGCGAACGAAACACTACACGTCCAACGCTTTCATAATGTTGGCACGACAGAGCGACTATAGGCGACAGATCTTAATGAATCTTTATGGGATCGTGTCGTGAACTTGTATTCCCTCCGGTGACTGACTGTGAAGTCCGTCTACTGTTGTACCCATTGGCGCGCTTCCATTTTGGCAATTCTCCGATCGCTCACCCCCTCCCGCCGCCGCGGGCATAAATGTCTTGACACGCAACTATTTTCATTCGGCAATTTTTATTTAAATATACCGTTGACCAAAAGCTTATCGTTCATTTCGCGTGCTTATAAATAAATCTAGTTTAAATAATCAATGCTGTCACTGTCGAAACATTTTATTTACACATTCAAGCCTTTTCATCGCGACTAATTTATTATGGCATTCTCACAAATGTATCTTGGCTTGAAAGTCACATAGCGTTAATTCTCGCATCAAGTGCTCTCATAATAATTGTTAGGATTAACTTTACAGACATCTTGACAACTAGAATAGCTTAAAACTAGAAACCAAAAAAAGGCTCCTGGCTCCACCACTCCAACGCGTTTTAGTATAACTAATAACGCAGCGAGCATAAAGGTCGCGCGCGTGGATTTTATTCTCCCTCACTCTCTCGCTCTCTCACTATTCATCTATCTATCCATCTCTATGTATCTGTCTGTCCCAATGCGGGAATACTTTGTTCATTAGTCAGAGAGCGCAGAGGTGCTAGTCGGCAGCTTGCGTTCGCTCCGACTTTTGTGACGTGTTATGAAAACCCGCGCTGCTGCCTTTGTACCAGTACTGCGTGCGAGCGCTTCAAGTCGAAAGGGCGTGTTGTTGGATGTCCGCGCGCACACTGGCTCCTACCCCGCATCTCGATCGTCGATCCACTCGATCGTCGCGTGATAGCGTCATTAGCGCGCCGGCTAACGACACGCAAAAACTCCCTCGCCGCCACGCGCAAATAAACTCGCCCCGACCTCCTGCCCCGCCCGAGCATTCTGTCCCCATCGACCTCATGGTCTCAGGCGACAATTTTTAAATTCCAATTCCCCTTCCAATCTTGTATGCTCGACCGAATGCATCTGTCCCAAAATATTCTTCCAATCGTCTCTAAAGAAAAGAGTGGCTAAAAAATACCGTCTCAGCTAAATATGTGCAATTGAAGGAGAATGATGTTCCGATCGATCGTCGATCAGTGTGGTACGTAAGCAGCGACAACGATCTCCTTGCATTTTGACACAGCGCAAATTTTTCATTGTTCAATCTAAAAAATATTATGCAAAAATGTCACTACCGATTAGTAATCTATTCGAATTATTCTCATTTTGATGAATGGCTAATAATTTTTTCACCAAACTCCTTGTGTTGTTATTATGAACCAACGAAGAAACTAGCTGTCAAAAATTTCTTTTTCGACAATCCGAACGAATGCAAAACCGCGCGACATTTCATACGTAATTAAAAGACTAAATGAGCAACTGACTTGCCTTGACTGATAAAATCGCTTAATTATGGATAATTGATAAGAAAAAGCGACTTACCAGGATCTGATGAATCCAAACTTGTGGGGGCTTGTTGGCTGAGGGGTCCAGGTGTACCTCCGCTGCCGGGGCTGCGCACGTCGTCGTTTCCACCAGGTCCGGGGTACGATAATGACGAGGAAGGTGGCCTCTGCAAAAACGAGAAGCAAGTATGTTTAGTTGGCTGGCAAGTTCGATATGAGGGAAACGACGAAACCGTGTACATCTCTTGAATCATCAGAGAGTAGCATCGGCCTTTTGTCGCATCCGGCACGACGCGAAGAATGGGATTAGGTTTGGGCGTGTGTGCGTGCGTGTGTGTGTGTGCGCGCGCGCGCGCCCGTGAGCGCGAGCGCTTTTATGTATATAATAGTGTGCCACATTAATGAGCGTGGCCGTTTTTTTGGGGAAAGGAGATCGTTGCATCTAGAGCCCACCTTACCTACGAAAAAAAGAGTTTATTATATTCGAATTATTTGATAGAGACTAAGCAATCCGAGTATTCAGATGTGAGGAAGGTGTGTGCGTGCGACCTTTGAACCGCCGCGTCGATAGCGACAAAGGCAAATCAGTGATTATGTCGCGAACGGCTACGAGTATATACGAGCACACTAGAGCACGCAAGTCGGGAGGAGCGCGTGAACGTCGGACAACAATGACTGACAGGGACTCCCACACGTTGTCATGAGAACTTGTCAGGGAGCAATTGTTTCGTCTCATTCTCGCCTATCCACTTAAAATCGTTACGCGATTGAAATTAAAGATTCGTTAAAGAGCTGCCTCCTCCGTCTATCTCCCTTCATATTTTTCAGCCCCCTCCCCGCCCAACTACCCGCCCACACACCCATACGTCGCACGCACTATTTCTCTCTTAACTCATAACTCGGACATGTTCGCCAGTCCAACGCATGCGATAGCCTATCTCCTTGTATAATCTTAATTTTTTTTTAAAGTTATAATCTTAATTTTTTAATTAAAGTCCTCTAAGTATTAAGATATTTATAGGAGATGTGGCGAATTGCCTTAACCTGCAATTATGTCAAGCTGAAATTAAAGGATTTGTAACATTATTAAATGCGATAGATCTTCCAGAGATTTATCTACGTATACGGTATACAATTTTTTTTTACCACAAATTACTCTATTTTCTAACTTGATAAAGAAATATTTTGACATACCAAACATGTTCATGGCTAATAAAATTAATATTGCCAATTCTTTTCTATGCGTAGGCTGATTTATATAATGTGACTGAACTTATTAGAAATTTTTTTTGTTATTCTAAAATAAAATCATGAAAATTAAGTTGCTTATATAAAAGTTTATTTATTACATACTGAACTTATAACTTATTTATATAGTAAAAAAATTATATGCTACAAGATACATTTCAAACTATTATACTTACAGCAGAGATGCTATCAACACTATAAAAAAAATATATTAATCTATAAAAAATAACAAAATATTCATTTGAATTGCAATAATAAAATAAAAAATACAGCAGAGACATTTTCCAGGTGCACAGGTAAATTCTGACTCGTAAAGAATAACGTACTTTGATATATTCTGGAAAACACTGTATTATATTTCAACTCCTCCAGTTGAAAACGTATTTTTACGATCTTATCTTAAAAAAAAAAAAGAAAAAAAAGACAGACTCACACACACAATTGTTAGCATAACAAAGTTTCTCCTACAAGGAAGGAATAATAGTTTACCAAAGTGAATTATGTAAATACATTTTAGGGCAGTAAAAAGTATTAACAACAATAAAAAAAAATTTGCTACCATCGTCAAATCGTACGACTACGTAATTTCCCTATCCCTTCTCCATTTTATATTTTGAAATGAGCAATGAAGAGAAGAAATCTCAGCTTTTTGAAGAACGATTTAGCGAGAAGAGCTAAAAAGAAAAAAGCCCTTGTTCTACATCCGTATAAAATATAGTCTCGTTCTCTCTCTCACTCTCTCTCTCTCTCACTCTCCACCTCCGACTCGGACTAGTGTTGCGACGCCCTTAATTTGCTTCCCATGCGCGCTGGCAACCTATCTGTCCCCCGCGACAAAACAAACGACAATCATCCTTTTTTATCCGTGGCTCTCTCTCTCTCTCTCTCTCTCTCTTTCTCGCCTATTGCAGCATTACAAAACACTTCCAAGAGGGAGCACTGCCGTCGGAATCCCAGCAGTGAGAAATCCCCGCTTCTCCGTACACCGGTACCCAGTACATAACGGCCTCGCGCCTCCTCCCATCAATAATGCATCGCGGTGAGCAGCATCCTATCCGTGATTGCTTCGACCACTGCCTTCGACATTCTCTCTCTAGAAAGAGAGAGAAAGCGAGAGAGAGAGAGAGAGAGAATGAGGGAGGAAGGAGAAAGCGAGTGTCGACGGGGCAAGGGGGAAAGGGCCTCAACCGACCAGTTAGGTGTCCCACGCGTGTACGTACATGCGAAGAACGCGAACCCTGTTTGCAGACGGCGTCTGACGTCACTTCCTACTAAACGAAGCCTGCCCCGTCTTTTTAGCATATAGTAGAGAAGCAGAATGAGAGAGAGAGAGAGAGAGAGAGAGAGAGAGAGAGAGTAAGAGAGTCTCGCTGTCTTTATGGATAGAATGAATTTCGTAGCTGTTTATTCATAATAGTGTGTAATTTTAATGTCAAGTGCTTATAATCAGTGCTATATTTATGTTAATAAAAGTTCTTCAAAATCCGTATATCTCTTATTCGCAAATCATAGCTTTCATCTACGTAGACCGGGTAATGAGAATTTTCAGTTACCAATTCGCAGACATACATAATGTATTATTTATTAATTAAATAACCAGCTTCTCCTTTGCATAAGAAATGCCCACAAATGTATTTAATTTAAAATTATACAGCTCCGTTCGTACAGACAATTCGTACCGTTGGTTAAACACGATATAATCGAGCACGAAATCTAATGTGCTTCATAATTAAGCAGGAGGATTATTAAGCTTATTTGGATAAACAATTTTTTATACGTAAGTAAGTAATGAGAAGTGGCGCACTCGAATATTATCATAATGTCAAATTGCTCGGCCAATGTGCGTTGCGCAACGAGCGCAATTTGACAAAGCGGATGTCTGGCTCGCTCCTTAAACAAATCACTGCCCGCATCTCGTGTTTCACTTTCCCCTCTAAAACTCAAAGCATACGCTAATTCTCTATTTTTTCCTCTTGCAGGCGCGCGCTCCTTATTACGGTCGCGTCAAACTATTGAATGTAAGAATAAAATTTAGATCGTTTAGAAAGCCGGAATTTTTCACCTCTCGCTCAGTATGAGAAATGCTTTATTTGCGAAAATCAAACTGGAAAAGTCGACACTTTCTATAATATAATAAACTACAAATTCGAGAGCTTGCCAAATTTACCGCTTGCCGTAGCTCGGCAAGCTCAAGTCGTTGTCCGTCAAGTCGTCGTTGGCTTCTCCCTTTCTCACAGAATTTTTCTCTATCGATCTCTGCCTACCTGTATATTGACGAAGCAAGCAGCAGCGAGGACGATGAAAGTTCAACGAGGGCGTTGCAAATGGACGAGGAAGAAAGATGGTAGCAGCGGGGAACGTGGCGCACGCCCGCTGTCAACAACCAAAGAGAACAATAAATTATGAATCTCTCGTGATCACGTACCTACATCGATCGCGCCCCCGTACAGTCGATAAAAAGAATCGGGAGCAATGCAAAACTCATCGAATGGAGGACGAGTAAGAAGCTGAATGTCGAAGGACGAAGAAACTCGCGGTAATTCGATGCGCGAGCGAAACTCTTGTTCCTCGAGAAAGAAATAATGAATAAATGCCAATACATTTGCCGAAGATCCCAGCCGCTGATTACCAATCCAAATGAGTTATGATCGCCAGTGCATGGAATCTTAATTAAACAAACGCCAGCTAATTTAATAAACACAATTTATGATAATGAAATGAATTTCCAAACCGTTTTTCGATTATTTCATCAATCAACTTGATGCAATCGCGAGGAAAATATAGATACGAAGGTAAAACGTGGCTATCCGCCTTAGAAACAAACTTGCCTCCGATTCTGATCAATGAACGCGCGAAAAGGGCCTCAAGGATACGGGATGCCTTTGTCCACGAGGATACGCACGCACTCACGTACGAGGTGGAGCGAGTAAAAATTCGCGAACATCGACGCTCCGGAATGTCCAGCGCCGTCAATGCGCTTATTGCGGCCGCTAGTCGCATTTATTGGAATGAACGGCTCGTAACATAATGCCGTATAATTACGTAATTAGCCGCCGGACACTAGGGCGTCGCTGGCTGGTTTACAACCGCGATACCTAAATCTCGGCAATTAAATTATTAACTCAGCGAGTCTCGTTCTCGACTTTGCTTCGCTCATAAGATACAGAGTATGAATAAGAGAGAGGGGGGAGAGGGACATTAGGTAAAAAAGTCAAGGAATCGGCTACCCGCGGACCGTCGATACGAGAAAATCCTCGGGAGATAATTACGTTATAGACACGCTCGCTACTGCGGGGGATTATTACTATTATTTCTTACTCCTTATTTCAAATGATTGCTCTTTTCTGTTGCCTTTATTATTATTGTTGTTGTTGCTGCCGTCATCGTGATCGCCGTAGTTATTATTATTGTACCACCGACTGACGCGGCGAAGCTTAATTTATAGCGTTAAGCGTGAAAAGTGGAAGGAGATGAAAGGGTGAAAAAAAGTTCGCGCGGGAGGTGTCATGCATTGGCCTGAATTTTTACGAGCAAAGGAACTGATAGATAATTGATATTAATTTTACGTCGCATATTACTACGAAATTTCATTATTGGCTTCACGAGAGCCTCTATGTTATTAAAGGATTTTAGTGCTGTCGTTTGTATGCCATTTGATCGCGCAGCTTCAAATTTCAAAAATAGGCAAAAGCTTACAAGAGAAGCCGATGCTTTTAGCAAATATTTTTAGTATTGAAAGGGTTACATCTCTACTGCATTGGAGGCCGTGTTATATAATGCTTAATAAAAAGTCGACTTTTAACTCACGCTCGGCAAATAATTTCAACATTGACGGGCGTAAAATTATTATTAGAGCGAACAAAAACAATACGATAGAATAACAATTAGTTATGAAAACAATTATTAAATGAATTTTTAA